TGTCAGAAGCATTCTTTGACTTTTTTTACACATAGGAACTGAGAGAACTAACGAACTAATGAACTTTCTTTCTTTTCTTTCTTTCTCTCTTTATCTCTCATAAGACTTTCCTCAAATTTAATTGCATTTGCAATGTAAAGAATCTGAACGTAAAATATTTTAAATCTAGGCCAACCTGAAATTCAAGAGATTTGCCCATCCAGGCCCAGGGCTTTGAGTGCACAGCTCTTAAAAGTCTGGCTTTGAATCCCTGTATGGTCAACTGGAGTCCTACCTCTTCAGAATTAAGAGTGCTATCTCACCACCTTATCTATCTCCTGAAAGATAGATAAGGCAGGAAGATTGCAGAAAGTGAGGAAGAATTAAAAAACCTCTTAATGAGGGTGGAAGAAGGGAGTGCCAAAAATTGTCTGAAGCTCAAAATCAAAAGACTAAGATCATGGCCACTGGTCCCATCACTTCCTGGCAAGTAGAAGGGGGAGATATGGAGGCAGTGACAGATTTTACTTTCTTGTGCTCCATGATCATTGCAGATGGTGACAGCAGCCACGAAATTAAAAGACGCCTGCTTCTTGGGAGGAACGTGATGACAAACCTAGACAGCATCTTAAAAAGCAGAGACATCACCTTGCTGACAAAGATCCGCATAGTCAAAGCTATGATTTTTCCAGTAGTGATGTATGGAAGAGAGAGCTGAACCATAAAGAAGACTGACCGCCAAAGATCACTGTTGAATTGTGGTGCTGGAGGAGGCTCTTGAGAGTCCCCTGGACTGCAAAGAGATTTTGAAAGAAATCAACCCTGAGTACTCACTGGAAGGACAGAACCTGAAGCTGAGGCTCCAATACTTTGACCATCGCACTAGAAGAGAAGACTCTCTGGAAAAGACCTTGATCTTGGGAAAGTGTGAAGGCAAGAGGAGAAGGGGATGACAGAGGACAAGATAGTAGGACAATGTCATCAAAGCTACCAATGTGAATTTGACCCAACTCTGGGAGGCAGTGGAAGACAGGATGGCCTGGCGTCCTCTGGTGTATGGGGTCACGAAGAGCTGGACATGACTTAACGACTAAACAACAACAACCTCTTATTTCCTGAGAAACCTCTTATCTTTTACCCACAGGTGAAAACTTTACCTATTGAATTAAGACAATGTAGAGGGGTGGACATTTCAGTTTATTTTTGAAACATCTAAAACAGAAAGAATTTGGAGCATAGAAGTTATGAATATGGGAGAAACTAAAGTGACTGTTTTCCCCATTCCATCACTTACACATGGATATAAGCCTCTTATTTAGAAAGTCTACACATCAATATTTGCACTAGTATAGTATCTTGCAATTTTCAGACCACCATCATTCACCTATAGATACTTATTTTTTTTAAAAAAGTAGTAGTATACCAAAGTCCCATCTGTTTTCCTCAGTGCTGAAAGTCAAGTGGTCTACAAGGTTACGGAAATAAAAGCAGCTCAATAAAGCTGCCAATCAGCTACTAATCAGTTAAACGTCAGCATAAATCTTTGGAAGTGCTAAAGCAGCACTTTGGTACACAGAGAGTACACTTTGATGTCCTAGCAGATAAGATGTTGCATATGTTTTTTGGAAGAAGAAAAAAATAGCCACCAAACAAAAGCAACGGTGAGGGGGGGGAAAGAAGCAAATTGAACAAGGCTACATCATTACCATCTGAATGAGTAAGGACACTTGCTGCCAAGTTTTAGGACTTATGCATATATTAGAATGTCCCAGAGGCCAGATGTACTTGAAGAGCAGTAGAAAAATCAATTGTGGAAATTACATGAAAAAGGCATTATACACCAATTACCATTTTCTACTTTCATGAAAGTTCATCTAGTAAAAAATAACCATTGACAGGACAGTAATTCTCTCTAGGATTCAAGTAGAAGTTTCACAAAAAAAATACTGTTCATAGAAATTTCAAAGCTTTTTTTATTTTAAGAAACTACTTTTGTTTTCACCAGTAAATTAATGGAAAGGGAATATAATAATCTAAGAATTAGACTATGGCTAAATATTTAACTGTAGGGAGAAATCTGTAAAATGTGGCTTAAAAAGTGATGTAACCCTGTTAGAACTGTTGTATGTGTTCGGTTCTTGAATTTTATATATTTTCTTCATATACATTGCTATACACACAACAATACAAAGTTGCCTTGTTCTAAGTCAGAACATTTGTATCTGCAGCAACCTGTCCTTTCTGCCTTGGCTACAGGCATCGACCATTCTTTCTACTAACATCCACCTGTGTGTGTCACACGCCATCAAGTCACATCTGAATTACAGTGACTCCAAAAGGGTTTTCAAAGTATGTGAAATATTTAAGGAGTCGCTTTACCACTGACACCACCCAATTAGTTTCAATGGCCAAGCAGGTATTCAAATCCATATCTCCTGAGTATAGGTCCATCAGTGTACAGTGGTACCTCGACTTACAAACTTAATCTACTGTATTTTGGAACGGCGTTCGCACGTCGAAAAGTTCCTAAGTCGAAGTACCATTTTCTATTGAAATGCATGGGAATGGAATTAATCCGTTCCAGCATTTCAAAAAATTACCTTTGGAGCTCTCAAAGGGCTTTCCCCCGACATCGGATGAAGCCCTCTGAGAGCTCTGAAGGCAAAAAGGCAGGGAGAAAGGGTGGGAAATTCAAATTTCCCACCCTTTGTTCCAGCATTTCAAAAAATTACCTTTGGAGCTCTCAAAGGGCTTCCTCCGATGTTGGGGGGAAAGCCCTTTGAGAGCTCCGAAGGCGACGAATGGCTCCGTTCGCAAACAATGGCATTGACTTGCGAATGGAGCCTCAATCTCATTTGTAGGTCAAGGCTCTGTTCACAAGTCTATGCCAATTTTTGCAAACGGAGCCATTTATAAATCAAAAAGTTCATATGTAGGGATGTTTGTAAATCGAGGGTGGACTGTATTCACTGCAATGACTAGCTACTGTCTAGTTGATTCCAACTTATGGTGACACTTTCCAGGGTTTTCTAAGTATAGTCAGATGAGGTTCACCATTTCCTTCTTCTGGGCACACCCTAGTACTGTGTTCCTTGCTCAAGGCCACATGGACTGGCTCTTCTCCTATATGGCACAAGGAGGAATCAAACTCCTGACTCTGCAGCCAGGTGCTCCATCTTGACTGAGCTACCCAGCCAGTCAGTAATTTCCACCTATCTCTAGATTATATGTAATCTAAAACTGGGACTGGAAGTGAAAGGAGATAACTGAAAGAATTGTCTACAGTGTTGGAGTTTACATAGCAGTTATAGGTGCAATATGGGTTTTTGTTGTTGTTGTTCTTTAGTCATTAAGTCGTGTCCGACTCTTCGTGACCCCATGGACCAGAGCACGCCAGGCCCTTCTGTCTTCCTCTGCCTACTGGAGTTGGGTCAAATTCACATTGGTAGCTTTGGTGACACTGTCCAACCATCTCGTCCTCTGTCATCCCCTTCTCCTTTTGCCTTCACACTTTCCCAACATCAGGGTCTTTTCCTGGGAGTCTTCTCTTCTCATAAGATGGCCAAAGTACTGGAGCCTCAGCTTCAGGATCTGTCCAGTGAGCACTCAGGGTTGATTTCTTTCAAAATCAATAGGTTTGTTCTTTTTGCAGTCCAGGGGACTCTCAAGAGCCTCCTCCAGCACCAATTCAACAGCGGTCTTTGGCGGTCAGTCTTCTTTATGGTCCAGCTCTCACTTCCATACATCACTACTGGAAAAACCATACCTTTGACTATGCAGATCTTTGTCAGCAAGGTGATGTCTCTACTTTTTAAGATGCTGTCTAGGTTTGTCATCGCTTTCCCCCCAAGAAGCAGGTGTCTTTTAATTTTGTGATTGGTGTCACCATCTGCTGTAATTAGAAGCAGGTGTCTTTTAATTTCGTGATTGGTGTCACCATCTGCTGTAATCATGGAGTGGAAGAAAGTAAAATCTGTCACTACCTCCATATCTTCCCCTTTTATTTGCCAGGAGGTGATGGGACCAGTGGCCATGATCTTCGTTTTTTGGATGTTGAGCTTCAGACCATTTTTGGCGCTCTCTTCTTTCACCCTCATTAAGAGGTTCTTTAATTCCTCCTCACTTTCTGCCATCAGAGTGGTATCATATGCATATCTGAGGTTGTTGATATTTCTTCCAGCAATATTAATTCCGGCTTGGGATTCATCCAGTCCTGCCTTTCGCATCATGTATTCTGCATATAAGTTAAATAAGCAGGGAGACAATATACAACCTTGTACTCCTTTCCACATCCATTTCTAATGGTTGCTTCCTGTCCCACATATAGACTTCTCAGAAGATAGATAAGGTGGTTAGGCACTCCCATTTCTTTAAGAGCTTGCCATAGTTTACTGTGGTCCACACAGTCAAAGACTTCTGCATAGTCAATAAAGCAGAAGCAGGTGTTTTTCTGGAACTCTCTGGCTTTCTCCATAACCCAGCTCATCTTAGCAATTTGGTCTCTAGTTCCTCTGCCCCTTCGAAATCCAGCTTGTACTTCTGGGGGTTCTCAGTGCACTTAATGAGTATTTATACAACATAATGATAGTTTTATTCCAATTTAATTCCCATGGCTCCATCGTATGGAATCCTGAGATCTTTAGTTTAAGAGTTCTCTAGGGGAAAAAAATCTAAGTACCTCACCAACCAGACCACAAATTTCAGGATTCCCATAGGATGGAACTATGAGAGTTAAAGAAGAATTAAAATACTACAACTATGTAGTTTAAATTGTCCCGGGGGAACCAAAGGATTGAGGGTGGCAATATGAAAGGACTACTAAGATGACTGGTGGGGACAGAAGAGAGAAGAAAGCTGGGGAAGCAGAACTATGGAATAGAGAAGCATCATACCAAAAAATTGGAAGACTGTTATATCAAGAGCCATTCTACTTAATAAAGAATACGGAAATAAAAGTTTCCAAGAAAATGGCTAATTACTTTCTACTTTATTTGGTCACCTTGGATTGTCCCAAAATGTACCTGTGGTCTTGGAAGCTTCTTTGATCTCTTTTTTAATCTCCATCACTTCTTCTGCTGTCAGATCCCCCTTTTTCAGCACAACCACCTGTGGCTGCTCATCCTCCTGATCACTTCCATCATTGTCATCTTCAGGAGGTGGGAGAAGTTCTCTCTGGAAGGAATATGAAAAGCTATACTACTCAGATAGTCATCTTAGAAATAAAATTGGAAGAAGGCCCATACTAGTATGTGACCAATTCTTTTAGGGAAAGAAGACACTCAAATAATCCATATCAACAGAGCATAAAGGACAAAAAAATCTGGAAAAAAGTTGAGATGCAACGCTACTTCACATCATGCTGCTCTTCTATGACCTCTGCAAGAAGGGTATAATGAACATTCAAATATGAGTAGCATCCTTTGGCTTTCTACATTATAGAGGTTGCCTGAAGTGCTCCTTCAAGAAAAAGCAACAGGGGATATAGGTACAGAAAGCTGGAAAAAGGCTGAAATACAAGACCCCTCATGCTCTTCTTCTATGACATGTATAAGAGATGTATAATGCACACCTAAATACACACAGCATCCACTGACTTTCCACATCATTTAGGTTGGCTCTCTGAAGGTTTCTTTGAGAAAAAGAATATGAATTTAATCTTAGTAAAGGAGTGATTCCTTGCTAAATGAGAGAAAGCGAATCTTTCCAGAAAGCAACAGTCCACATGATCTAAAATAGAAGCCACACACAAATCCACCTTTCCTATGGACTTTACTTAATGTATCCTCAACTGCTCCTGCTCAAAGAAAGAGCAGGTTAACTTTTTTTGTCCCTGGTAGGCTTCCTTTTGTTTCAGCTGTCATAAGGACTAAAAACTTACCAGGATGGGGAAACTTCACACCTGAACGTTAGATTTCTCTTAGATTTCTCATATGTCCAGAAGTTGACTTTAGACTTTGTCTTCAAGCTCTGACTTGCAAGACAAACGAAGCATCTAGGGTCAAACCTAGCACTTCCTTCTGCCCTGGTAAACATCTAGTTAGCCTAGCTCCTCCAGGATGAAAACTAGCATTTTTTTTATGATTTACTAGTGTTCTCATAAAGATATTACCTATCCCTTCCTTTAGATTATTTAAAGACACCCCTCTTTCGCCCTCTTCTGTCAGCCATGTGGGAGAAAATGATTTCGTATCTGCAGCAACTACAAAATATGGTGGCCAGACAGATCTCAAAGACTTCAAGATACAATCATATTTCTCTGGTCCTGGCTTACCTGCACTGGCTGCTGGTTTGCTTCCATGCCAAATTTAAGGTACTAATGTTGACTTATAAAGTCATGAACAGTTTGGGACCTTGCTACCTATTGTAGTGCCTCTTCCCAAAATCATCTACCTGTGCCACTGACACCCCTCAGGCTTTGAGGCTGCAGGTGGCCACGGCGAGGGAGGCCAGGAGGTCCATGACTAGCCTTCTCAGTGGTGGCTACCTCTCTGTGGAATGCTCTACCTGTGGAGGTGCACCAGGCTCCTTCTCTCCTAATATCCAGAAAGCACATAAAAACATTGCTTTTCACAGAGGCATTTCAGGATAACCTCCCTTTATAACTATTTGCTATTCAGTTTAATTTATGTTAATACACTTTGTAGTCTGTATTTTGTCCATTGTTGCCATCTTGAGTTTTCAGGAGTGCTGCCCTCCTTTTTATATTTTCATATTTTGTGGGTTGGGTGGGGGCAGGTTGTTTTCTTGCATGTTTATCTTTATTGTTCGAAACCACCCAGAGTAGTGGCATGCCACTAGATGGTGCAGAATAGAATAGACTATAAACTAACTAACTAACCTTCCTGGTTTTGCAATGATTCTGTATAATTCTACATGTATCTATTCAGAAAAGTCAATTGGTTTTACTCTAAGGTAACAGGAAACAACATAGCTGCAGGATAAAGTAATTCCCTTTACCAGTTATGTAGCCCTCTTGGAATTGTCCTAGTCAACTTCCTTAAAAGTTTTATACAGTTTATTTCAAAGCAAATATGGTTAAAAATAATCACAATGTTAGTAGACGAAATATGTACTCTTGTGAAACTCACTTACAGCTCCTCACTTTAAAAAAACTGTAAACTCAAAATCATCATAGTTACGAGCTGGATTTAATTTTTCCAAGACTTATTTCATATTTGGGAATCTCTTATATTCAAAGACAGCTACATTTAGAAAAACTAAGCTACTTGCAGATTTCTGTGAAATGCAACTACCAGTCAGTCAGCTTTCACTGAGAACACAAAACTGACAGTTTTTTATCTATGCAACGTTACCCAGCTTGAACTGACAGAGGTGCGGCGTTACCAGACTATGCCAGGGGGCGCTATGGTGAAATGAACTGCTCAGAGATGAAACCAAACAGACACTGTTGTAGTGTTGGTAGAATTATTTACATTAAAGTTCATATATACAGGTACAAATACAACTTCTCTTGGTCTTTACACAGTCCTGGTCTTTCACAGTAGTTCTTCAGTTTGCAATAGTAAATTACAGGTTCAGTATCCAAAGATTGTTACCAATATAAATAGTCCAGCATCCACGAAGTCTTCTCCTCTCACCACGGAGATAGTCTTCCTCCAGGACCTTCCTCTTGCAATGTAGCAAGTCTTCATCCAGCGATGCAGCATAAATTTCTTTCACAATCAATGAGACTTATCAACCAAATAACCAGCTCTCAACTACACAACCACCAACTACCCAACAACTTGTGTCTGCTAGCTTGGCTAGCTTTATTCTTGGTTGCTCCAATTAGCTTAGTTGTCCCACAGCTGTCTCAATTAACCCAGCTGTATTACTTTGGTACATGTTGCTCACTAAATTCTGGTCCTGTTATAACTTATCTACTGAATTGCAATGAACAATTCCTAAAGGTTGATTTGAGACCTGTCATGAACGTTTGTAGTGCTTCTCATTTCTGCAGTCCCAGAACATTCCCCAGCACAAACAAAATAGGAAAACAATGAAACTACCATAACATCAAATGCAGAACTACAAATTGCTTTCCATCACACTGCATAAACCTGTCAGAGAAGCATTGATACTAAGGACAAATTGAAAGAGTCTTCTGTCTCTCCCTTCTAATCCTCTGTTGCCTTTCTTGTTCTGGCAAATTCAGAATGAATCTCCTCTATTTAGCTAACCTACCCCTTACCCTGAAAAAGGGATGCAAATCTCTATGTATTTTGTTCCTGGAAGTAAGAGTGAAACATTTCAATGAAACAACATCTGCTAGGAGAAATTATAAGAGCTTTTGTATATTTTTCACATTTCAGCCATTTTTCTTCCAAAAAAATCTGTGTAAATGTTTCAGTGCTAAAATCTGGTACTTTATGTAAACAAATACAAACTTTTTATCCACAATACACGGTGCTGTACTAAAAATACATGCTCTTTAAAAAAAATTTTGATAGCACTATTAATGAATAAGTGCTGATCTTTTTAATCTCATGCAGGAGCAAAAAAAAAATCTCAGTGTTTGGACTTTTTTGAAGAGGTGCCTCCATGTCATGATACACTATTTTTTGTTAGTGATTTTCTGCTGTGGAGCCCTTAATCTCTACATTTCCCTGCAAGATTCTAGCAGTTATTGTGTGAACACAATTAACATATGCATGTATCATTTTGCATTTCTAAAATCTACATACACATAACTAACGTTATTTGTGATCTGGCCACAAAAGTTTCAAAGATTTCTGGAAAAAAAATCATATATAGACACATTAAACTCATTCCCCAATACATGATTCTTATGAAGCCAGAATGACATCATCATCCATGCACAAAAGGCAGCTAAGTTGGGAGAACATCAGTGTTTGAGAAGGTGTCTACATACACATATACAAGTTGCGGGATTAAAAAGTCTTGAAGGAGAGTCAAAAGCTACTCGGTGAGAACTTGCCTGTGGCCCCAAAATGCTGAGTTATCTATTGCAGAGGAAAATAGAAAAGTGATAGTAGAGGAGTAAGAATGGCATTTCCTAGAAGAGAGCATGGCTGATTTGGACTCTGAACAGGGACACTCCAAACAGTGTTGCAGATCCATTATGTCAAGAAATATTGGCTGCTGTCCTGTTTAGGATAGGATGGTTAACATCATGTTTCACTCTTCTCCCCACTCACCAACCTGCTCCTAAATCTTATTCCTATGGGAAAGACTTAATAAAATCAAATGCCTCTGATGCTGTAACCTGATTTGTTTGTCTGTATGCTAGAGCTGAGCATGAGTAGTGAAACTGTTCATATAGTATCTATTTGGGTCACTCATGCAAATCACTTTCAAAGCTCATTTCTCACTCAGAGATGTCAAAATTAGCTGGTATTAGAGATATTAAGTAGCTGGCGGCACAAAAACACAAACACACACAGCAGTGCATTTCTCCGGACTCACAAGCACCATTTAAATGGCAGGAATCAAGACTTTAGGAAACACTTCCCTATGAATTACCACTTTGTCAACTGAAATGCAGATGGATGGGGATTTATGGATCTGACATCATGGCAAAAGCGGGCAATGTCATTTCCCCTGCATGTAGGCTAGTTTAGTATCATCTATCAAAGCAGCCATTGCTGCTGCAAAGTGTTGGGTTAGGAATAGCATAAGGTCAGTTTACCTTGTACTCCCTCTGCTGTCTGTTACTGGAAAAGTAACAGCACACAAGAAACAAGACTACGGTAGTTTGTTTTTCTTCTGACAAATTCTCTTCCACCCCATCTGTCCTTGTGTATATTATGTCCCATCAAGTCGCACCTAATTTACAGCAATCATAATAGGATTTTCAAGGTAAATGAGATATTTAAGCAGTGTTTTTAGTTGTGAATTTCCGTGGTTAAGAATGGATTAAATCCAAAAGAAAGTTATACAACTATCTGTCAGATATACAGTGGTGCCTTGCTTAATGATGTTAATTGGTTAAAAAAAAACATTGCTATGGGAAAACATCGCTAAGCAAAACACCATTTCCCATAGGAATGCACTGAAAACCGAATAATCCGTTCCAATGGGAACAGATTACCGTCCTTAACAGAAAATCGCCATAGGAAACATCGCTAAGCGAAACGTGGTTCCCCCATTGGAATGCATTGAAGCCTATTCAATGCATTTCAATGGTTTTGACAGGTCCGTTTTCGCTATTT